TGTTGTAAAATTTTTAATTAAACTATTAATAAAGATAGAAACATGGCCTCACCTTGGCTTTGCTTAAAAAAAAAATATATATATATATAAATATATATATATATATATATATATAATATTTATTATTTGTGATAGCAAATATATAAGTTTTATAAAAATAATCTTATTAATTAATTTATTTATGATTATATACTGCATATTTCTGTATTATATTTTATTAAAAAAAATAATAGAAGTATAACAAATAATAAAAAAAATGCAAACTACTAAATTGTACTAAGAAATTTTGACTATATGATATTAGAAATTAGAAGACATAAAGAAGAAAATATATATCTATGATTTAAATAATTAGTAAAAAAAATTACTATATTATGCTATAATTGTTAATCAAAAATTTAAATTAATCTTTATTATATTAGATATTAATTAGTATTGCTATTTGTATGAATATCACAATAAAATAGATAAATTTATTACATATTTTATATATCTAAAATAGAATTATATAGGTCTAAACACTTAAATTTATTTATTCTATAAGTCTACAAAGAATAAAAAAACAAAAATTGAAAATCTTAAAATGAACTCTACTAATCTCACCAAATAGTATAATCCACAACAAAGTATAAACAATACTACATCAAAAAAAAGATATATTAATCTAAAAAAAAATAAAGCTTAATACTAAACTAAGGATATGAAAAAATTTAAAATGAAATATACAACAAAAAAAAAAGAATACAAAATACTCTCAATAACTAAAAACTGTATTACTAATAAAGATATAATAGTTTAATTTAAAAATAAAAAAAAGTTAAAATAAAAAACACAAAAAGTAAAATTATGACAAAAGGATACAAAGAAATATACTAAAAAAAAATATGATAATTTAACTAGTAACCCAAAAGAAAAAAAATTAGTAATCTGTTAATAATACTATTAATTTATTCAAAATATTACTCAAATACAAATAAAAACAGGCTATAATACTAAGTAGTAAGAAAAAATTTATATCACTCAAGATTAAGAATTTTATAACAAGATTAAATTGAATAGTTACTTACAATTAGAAAAAAAAGAACCAACAATCTAGAAAATAAAAAACTTCACAAAAACACTATACAAAAGCTTAGCTTTACTGCACTTGCTTCATATTTCTAATCAAATAATAGGAATATAGCTTCATTATAATTAATTTTGGGTTAGTAATAAAATTTTTATGTCAGTAACAGGTAAAGATAATGTTAAGGCATTACAGTTATACAACAATATCTAATATCATATTGTGTATATACATATGTATTACCTGATCTTGTTTATATTTTCTGATCAATCAAATTATTATGTAACTATATTGAGGATAACACAATTCACAATAATTACTGGGTTCAGTGATCTTTAAGTGTCCTGTTATTTTTAGTTAATTTAAATTTACTCTTATGGTTTAACTATAATTTTTTTTTATACTGGTGTGTTATTCATACTTTAAGATAATTATTTAGAATGTAATCTCAAAACTAAGACTTTACTAGAAGACAAACATACTATTGTCTATTGCAATATTGGCCTGTGCAAAGTTATAAAGCGAAGTAAAATAATTAGGATGATTTTTGCTTAAGAGGTTAGATTCAAATAAATTTCTTTACTAACTGTTTAGTTGAATAAGTACGGGCTGTTTAGTGACAAGGGATTTAGGTTTAATTTTTAGATTTGCTGGTCTTTGTAGTGTGTTGGGTTGGTTAACTGTATATTTAAATTTCTGGTTTATACAGTATTGTGTAAATTTTTTAATAATTTCAAATTTACTAATAATAAATATTATATTTATCTACTTTACGCATATCAATCTATTTTCTAAATATACGTGACAAAATATCATACACGATTTGTTAGTTTGAAAGTTTTTTGATATGGAGTTTTCTAGTAATATTAGGGCGATGAATTTTTAAAAATTATGTAATTTGATTAGTTAATTATCACAAGTAGATCATACAGATGTTGACCAATTAAAACGAATTTCTAACATGCTACGTTGGATTAGGTTACACAATTAGTTCATATTAAACTGTTACATATTAACGTTAATATTAAAATTTCATAAAATGACCCATTTTTTTATTCGCAAGTGTTTGGAACCAGTTTTATTTTACATAAGGCTGTTCAAAGTTGATTATTAGGATAACGTCTCCTCTTCCCCTAGTAATTGTGCCATATTGAATGTATAATATGCCACACATTATCTACATAATCAAAATTGTTTATGGACGGACACATACGTATATGATCACGTGTATATGAACCTGAAATAAATACATAAACAATAACGATAAGATTACACGATCCTTTGTATTTAGTAAAGTCTTCTAATACTTCAAGTTTAAAATACTCTGGTAAAATTTTATTCAATCCTTTAGTCCTATTTAAAGATACAAAGACCTTTTACACTTTTTTTTTCACTCAAAATATTGGAATCGATCCTACTTTTACTGGGGAGACGTTTCAACGTGGGAAGAATTTTAAAAAGAGAAAAATCTCAATTTAAATTTGCACGATTCTCACTTTTGCTTGTCAAAAGAACTCGAAATATTGAGTGCAAAATTTGGGCCTAATACAAAAGAAGAAAAAAAAATTAGTGCACTCCTCTCAGGAAATTAGAGGTCAGTGCTTTTCACGATTTAATTTCTATATATGCTATGCATTTGTGCTATTTGTATGGGGGAAGAAGAGTATCGTGACATGAGCTATTCATGATGTGCATATTTAGTAATCGAGCTACTACGCCTTTGTGCTGCGTGTATGAGGGAAGAAGAGCATCGGTACATGAGCTATCCACGACGTGCAGTTAAGGAAAGTTCTGACTTAAGGATAGTGTATTTGTTTTTGTTACATCAGTCACATTAACAAGATATTTACAGATTTAATTGGTTAACTAATTACTTTTGCGCATTTTGTGTGGATTTACATTGCGTACGTGACAAAAATACCTACTCTTGATCTAGCATCTTCGCTAACCTTTTTCTCTTTTCTCGAATTAATAGAAAAAGCAGTAACATATATGAAGCCGAAGAATTATTTATATATATAATATCAATGAATTTCCTGCCTTGCTCGACTATTGTCAGCGCCTTGAAGAAATGTATGAGAGTCTTATCGATGAGATTTCTCAATTAAGCAGACATCTTTCCATACTTTTAAAATAGTCTGTTATTGATAGCAATCTTTTTGAAATACCCGTGTCCTTAACTCAAAACACAAAAACAAAGGAATGCTTAATGGTATTTCAATATGTTGATGGTGGAAATCTTTAAGAATAAACTTTCGAAATCTTAACTGGAAAGCTAAATTAGAAATACTTTATGGTATTATATGTGACTTAGATGAAATTCATAAAGCTGGATATATTCATGCAGACTTTCATAGTGGTAATATTTTAGAAGATAAGCATAATGGATTGTCTAAAAAGATTAGTTCAAATATTTCAGAAGGTATTATTTATGGAGTCATGCCTTATGTTGCACCAGAGGTTTTATTAGGTAAAAAGTTTATAGCGGCAGCAGATATTTATGGGTTCGGAGTTATCATGTCAGAGATATCAACAGAACAAAGACCTTTTGATAGTTATAAATTTGATATTGATCCTGCGGTAAAAATTTGTAATATATTGCGGCCTGAATTTGCTTCTGAAACTCCTGATTTCTATATTGATTTGGCAAGGCAATGTATAGATCCTGATCCACAAAAACGGCCTACTGTCAGTGATGTTTGGAATAAATTTAATAAATGGTTGGATAGCATGTTATACTTAGATAATGCAGATGAAATTAAAAAGCAATTCATAGAAGCAGATAAAATAATCAAAACATTACTGATTACCACACCAAAACATCCAGACGCATCCGGAAAATGTGTACTAGGTTGGTGCGGCATAGCTGAATAATATTGGATTTTTCAGAGATCCTTGACGGAATGATTTAAATATGTTTTTAATTATATAGTCATTTTATCGTAAAAATGCAGCGAGTACAGAGATATAAATTAATTTATTATAGGTTAGATTATATGAAACTTAAATTTTTCGCCTTGTTACGTATGTACTTTATAATTCTTATCAAATTAATGATTTTATTATTAGCATTAAAAACTAGTAATGAATTCAAAGTTTCATTATTTTAACTAATTGCGCTAAAATAAATAATTGACTTCTCTAATCACTGTGCATGCCACATTTTTTGAATGCAAAAAAATTTAAAATATTAATCATCATCGGGGATCTCAAATGAGTCAAGAGGTTTACTAACTAAAAATAATTCAAAATTTTAATTTAGCTGATTAGACTTTTTTATAATTTACAAATACGTTGTGGCACTCGATACTCGATTTAACAGAAATTAACAACAATTCATATCTAACAGAGGCTTAGAATAAGCTATAATAAATTCTACTTTATATAACTGATAAAGTCTCTATAAAGTGGATTCAGTCATATCGAGTACCACTATGTACTGTACATTAAAATACAAATTAAGACTGATCAATACGAATGTATACCTGCAGTTGTTAATTCTGAATGTTTTGGAAAATTCGAAAGTTGATTGTAAAATTGTCTTAATTTTAAATAATACATTAGCTAAAAAATAAATACCTTTAATTGCATTCGATATTTTTTGTGTGCTAATAATTTTGCTAGTGTACATAGAATTCGAGTGTTTTGGTGATATAATTGGCAATTTTTCGATTATTCGGTCAGCATCTAAGAATTGCTTTTTAATATCATCTGTTTCGTCGTCATCATCATCACTATAATATTCATCTTCTTGATTTTTATCTTCACTTGTTCTGTCTTCTTGAGTTTCATTTTCTCTTCTTTTATCTTTTTGAATATTTGAATAGAATTCAATATTTGTATTTATGTTTATTTCATTGAGGTAAAGATTGTCTTCATTAGTTTGCATGATTTCTAATTTGAGGTTTTTATTATAACTTTCTTTTCAGATAAGAGCTTTACTTTTCTTATATTGTCTATATTGTTGTCTAAGTTTTATCAATTCCTAAAGTTGTGAACAGTCTTTTTTAATGTGTCTAGTTTAATCGCATTAAAAATACACTTTGAGTGCCTCTTTCCATTCCATTATGATTTTTTGATCACATATATATGTGTGTCTTAGTAGTCTTTCTGTAAGATTTGGGTCATCAGTGGTTTCAAAAATAACTACCCACTGGTTTGTGCATATCAGGGTTCCAGTGAATAGCAAGGATTTAATTAAGGAGATTGTACTTATATTCTCAAATACCTCTTTTATTTGATCAGATATGAGGCTTTTTTTTCCTAAAGGAACATTTTGAAGCTTTACAGGCAAAAAGTTGCATCTCAAATTGGTAGGTATATATCCAAGAAGGGATTGTTTAAAAATTATGATTCCTTCTGTAGTATAATGTTTTCTTTTTTCTTCATTTTTAAAGATTATTTCAAGATGTGTTTGGATTCCTTTAGTAAAATGAGGTTTGGCTGCGATAAAATCATCTCCTATTTTACTGTATATAGTTGAGATAATCTCATTTATATGTATACTAGTCAAGTTTTAAATTTCAAAAATTAAGGTATTGTTATTCTTTGTATCAATATTTCTTCTGGGTGAGTATGTATTATATGTGGCTCATCCCCTTCTTAATCGTGGGAATAAGCTAGACCAGGATCTACTAGTGTTAGGTTTGGTTCTTCCTTTTTCACTTATCTTATGTACTGCAATTTCTAATTCATTTGAATGTTGTATGCAACTATTTTGCCTGTCACCTGAGTTTTTTTCTAAAGAATTTTCAGAACCTTCTACTTCTGTTTCTATAGAATTTTCTGGGTTTTCATTGTTGTCTACAATGGTTTTTTCAGTATTGAGTAATTCTTGAAGTATCTCTTCTTCATGGTAGTTTTGTTCCAGGTCTTCTGACCAGTCAGTAGAGTTTGTATTTAGTTTGTTATTAGTTTGTTTTCCAGTTAAAGCCAGCTCTATCATTTTTTGATTCTCATTATCTGTTTGGGGTTCTTCGTTTGTTTTATTTTTATCTCTAGATCTTAAGTCATGTATTTTAATCCGTTTTATTTCTTTCAAGTCTTCTCTTGGTTGTGACATCTTTCTTTTGTTTCGAACAAGAGCAGACGCCCTTGTTAATAGTGAGTTGTGTTCACAAAGGTTTACTTTTGATGGTATTTTGTGAATTCCGAACACCCGGCACTTGTTTGATGCAGAGTGTGTGACAATCCTTTTCCTAAATTTAACTTTAATAGTGTGTGAGTATAAAGATCATTTATTAATCTATGTATTTAAAATCTGCAATTCATGTTTATAAATATTTACCTATTAAATGGGTGCCGTCAAAAGAAAACCTGGCATCGGACTTTCAAATATATTTTGTGTACAGATCGTATCCTGTGTGCCACCTATGATAAATCTATCATCGGACATTTAAATATATCTTGTGCCGGACATACCCCTGAAAAATCTGATCAGAAATTTAAATACCGTTATCGTTATTGCATCTTCGTGACACAGTTTGTAATAATACAATAATTACTGCAAGATTTTTCAGGGGGTATGTTGTCCGGCAAAAAATATAATTAAATGTCCGATGATAGATTTATTATAGATGGAACACAGGATACGATCTGTACACAAAAT